AGAGCCGGGACTAGCTTGGGAATGAGAGCATGCCACCGGTCGAATGTTTTGTGTGCCTCTGCATCGGGTAGCAGCCGTTTGCTACGCTTGGCTGGGGGTGAGGCGTCCGATGGCTCCTGGACAGGGATTTCCTGTTCAAAGGGTTCGGGTTCAAGATCAGGTGGTAGGGCGTCCTCGGGAGGGGGGGGGGGAGTAGAAGCATGAGATTCTAAAGCACGCAGACGGGCTAGCAGTGCCAATGTACGAGTATCACCTGGATGACTAACTAAGACCTGATCTTTTTTGCCCCCGAGCCGACGTTTTTGGGGGGTCAAAAAGTGCGCCCCTGTGCGGGGGATGACCTTCTGGTTATCGCGCATCCTCGGTGGCTGCGATCGGGGGGGTGTCGCAGGACATGGGAGCAGGTCGTCGCCGATCTGGAGAGTACTAGGTGGCGGCATGGTGAAAGCGAGAATATAGCCGGGCGAGAGAGCATAGGAGCTAATTTGAAATAGCAAAGACATGGCATCAAGATGTAGACAGGTACAAATATGGCGAGGGTACACAGAGGCTGGGGATGGTGGAGCGTCCTAAGGTACGGCGGAGGAGCATCCCAAGGAGGGCGGGCGGGCGTCTAACCCGCCTCGAGGGTGCGATCAGGCACATGCCTATATCCATATCGGGATATAGGCCCTGATCTCCCCCTGGGGATGGTGTTCGTTAGACCCATTTCCCACCGCCCCGATGGGGGTCTACTAGATACCTCCAGGACCTGCCCTAGGTGAACTTCGCAGACGATTGTTATGCAGACTGGACACCGAAATGATGGATCACTGGTGGAGATCCGCATATCAGACTTCCTCTCAAATGTGGCACCTGGCCATGAGCCGACAGATGAAGCTCTTGCAGTTTTCCGCGCCAAGTCCTTTGAGAGGAGTACCACGACAAAGAATGAATGGGAGATGTATACTGGGTTTGTGAGTTGATTACTCAACATGTCAGCTCTCTATATTTCACTGAGACACACGTGTAGTGTGGGACAACGCAAGATATTCTGAATCTTTGTCCGGAAGATAGGAGACTCGTTGCGAAGTATACAGGCCGATATTCGGACAACAAAGGAGGCGACCCCCGCGGGCAAATGCGACCGGATGTCATCCTATATCCTGCCAATAGAGGCTCAGGAAGCTTATTCGCTCACTGAAGGCGAGCTGAAAACAGCGGAGAATGTAATGCAAGAACAGAGGACGTTTCTCGCGAGACCGTCTTGGGCTTGGGCTTCCCTAGTCATAGAGTTCAAGACGGAGAGTGGCGGTCATCCGTTTACGTTCTCCGCATCTGAGATAATCTTCCTGACCGCCGATGACGACCGCCTGACCAGAGGTCAAATCATCAATTATGCAGCTGCCGTCTTGCATAACCAGCCCCGTCAATTCTGCTTCATGATTGTCGTTTCCGGGTGTCGTGCTCGCCTGCTCAGATGGGACCGCTCCGGGGCGATTGTCTCTGAGTCGTTCGATTTCGTCCACGAAGACAAGGAAACCATGTTCCGGTTCCTCTACAAGTATGGCTCTATGGCTAGGCATGAGCGAGGATATGATCCGACCGTTACCGCAGCAACAAAGCAAGAGGTGCAAGACATGAAGGCAAAGATCACAAAGAACAGTCTGAGTATCAGAAGGAATGCTTCGACAAGGAACTTGCCGGCAACTGGCCTATCTAGAAGACCTTGATCTTTAAGGAACACCTCATCTCTGATGTTCAGCTCTCCCCGCCACCTTGTCACTTCGTACATTCGGACTCCGATGCGACAGGGGATGGTCTACACCCGGTCGACCCTGTACGCGGTACCGACAGTCATGAGTCTGGGCGTGGTATTATCTTCGCAAAACCACACAAGAGTAGTGGATCACCTATAGGACGCGGGATGCAAGGATATGTTGCTTACAATGTGGACGAGAAGCGCTTGGTCTACCTGAAAGACAGCTGGAGATTTGCGGATGTAATACCCGAACACAAGACGTATATCAAGCTCTGGCAGAACGAGGTTCCTTACATCGCTAAGCCCATCAGCGACGGTGATGTGTTCGCGGGTACCGATGCTCAGGCTCGTCCTCGCGTCCAATACACGCTGACGCAAGACTATCTCAGGAAGCGCGGCAACGCGAAGAGCAAATCGAAGGCACGTATTCACTATCGCATTGTTTTTGACGAGGTGTGTCGTCCATTGGACACATACGAACATTCCCTGGAACTGATCAGGGTGATGTACCATGCTTTGATGGGTGAGTAAACCGCATGCAAAGGCAGCATGGCAGAAAGCTGAGGTTCTCCATCGTGACCTCAGCGTTTCGAATGTCATGACGAAAGACATCATTCCCAGCGATGGGAGGCGACGCGTCCAGGGTGTGTTGAACGATTGGGATCTATCCAAACTAAAGAAAGAGTCGGAGAAAGGTTCGAGTCAAGTGCATCGTTCGGTGAGCTTAAATTTCTGGATGACTGACGCGAGTAACTGAGCCCTCGCGTCATAGGGCACTTGGCAGTTCATGTCTGTGCTGCTTTTGAAGTATTCGGAACAGAAGAAGCACGAGGTCTCTGACGACCTGGAGTCATTCATACATGTCACCAATTGGCTCACTCTCAAGTGGCACTGGCATGCGCTCACTGGCGAGCCGACGCTTCTGAAGGACTATGTCCATAGGACGTACGATGCATACAACACCGACCAAGGATACAATGTGGGTGGTGACAGCAAATTGATCCATATGCGCAGCGGAATCGTGCAATTTGGTCTTGTGCGACAGTGTCCACCTCTTCAAGACTTAACTCAAGCACTCGCTGCGTGTTGTCGCATTCACTACAAGATAAAACAGGACGAGATTCAGCGCATGAAATCACAGCGGATCTTACGCAGTCAACCAAATCAGCCATCAGAATCGAAGAGGAAGACCACGGTTTGCATCAAGCTTGAGGATGATCTCCCGCACTTCCCCGTAACATCGCAGCGTAGAGATGCCAGTCCGCCTGAGGGGTCGACGATCACAGAAGCAGTGAGGCCGCCTCTTGACGACCATGACAGTCTCATTCAGATCTTCCAAGCACGTCCTGAGTGCCGATATAGAATGCTGCGACAAAGTGGAGACCGACCAATTTGCGTCGCTCATCGAGGAATCCTGAACTCGCACAACGAAGCGAAAATTTTGTGTTCTACAGACGGCGAGCCGAGACCCAAGCGATCGAGGCAATCATCTTTGAATGATGTGAAGCGGCCAGCGCGCCTACACACGGAGGGCCCGCTGTCCATACTATCGCGGAAGAGCGGCAGCTATAGCCTTATCACCAGTCGACGAGAGTTTCATCACGGGCGGGGAAGGCGCCTCTTCCAGAGAATGAGCCTTTCCGAAGCCGTAGTCATGACCTGAGGTATAAGTACCCAATGCTTACGCGTTTGTTCGGTTACTATATGTATGATGTATGCGTGTTACACTAGACTCGGAAGTTTCTGGAGCATTCATGTTTGTTGAGTCGCAGGTGGTCAACGTTTGCCTTATGGCAGTAGCGCGGTAGTACCTCAATACAGCCAGACGCGTTTCAGCTGCTACGATAATGAATGGTCCATCAGCAATGTCACAGGGGTTGCCACATCAGAATGATTGAATTCAAGGCGTGCAATGTCAAGACTTGTAGGACTCATGCATCCAGGGGACTACTACCCACAAACATATCGCACCAAAGACGACTCACCACGACATCTGTGCGCAATCATGGGTTCGAAGACAGGAAACCACAGCCTGGAACTATTCACAAGTGTCATCTCCGAACGGACGCGAGCTAGTCTCCTGAGAGCAGAGTAGACAATTACTTCAACTTCATTCCAGCGGATCGTTATAGCAAGCAACAACATGATCGGTGATCATATCTTTATGGGCTCACAAGATCGCCCCGCCTAGCTGCCACGGTTCTCATGATCTCTCGGTCCAATTCTAGAGGACGATGTCCAGGCCACTACAATGAGGAAACGCAAAGCGATGGTAATGGTATCACAACAGTACTCAGTCGCGGTCAAATAGGGTCACGTCGGTAGTGGCACGCCAGTCTATATAATATCATGATCGTCCCCATACAAGATAGGTCATAAGTAATATGAAGGTCTGGGAGACAAGTAGGACCCGGGGAATGTCTGGCACCCGCAGTGCCCGGGGACCGCACGCGCCCACAAGGAGAAGGAACACACGCGACCGAGACCTAAAAGTCTCCTCGTCTTTCTTTCTTCATTCTGTGTTTTCTGTCTGTTACGATCCACAGTCCCCCACCTCGATTCAACATGACCGATGTCTCTGATGCTCTCGCTCCTCGTGTAAGCTCCGTGTGCTCATCTCCGAGACGCGTCGCCTCGATCGATGCGCGCGATCTCGCTACTCTTTCTCCCCAGCGGCACATTATCTAAATTTGTCGTCCGCAGGACGAGGAGCATGACCCCCATTTTGAGCCCGTCATTAAACTCACGGAGCAAGTAGAGACCAAGACAAACGAGGAGGATGAGGATGTGCTCTTCAAGATGTACGTGTTAAACCTCTTGTGCCCCCCATTTTGGATTGACCGCCGTTTTATCTTCCTGACCAGGCGTGCTAAGCTCTTCCGATTCGCGTCAGATTCCTCAGAGTGGAAGGAACGTGGTACTGGCGATGTCCGTCTGCTGCAGCACAAGGAGACAAAGAAAGTGCGGCTAGTGATGAGACGCGATAAGACGCTGAAGGTCTGCGCTAACCACGCAAGTGAGTCTTGCAGTATCCTGATCAGTGGCTTGTCCCTCATGATTCTGCAACGCGCAGTCACCTCCGACATGAAACTGCAGCCCAACATTGGCTCCGACAGAAGTTGGGTCTGGAAGGTCGCCGCCGACTACTCTGAATACCCTCCGACCTCGGAGACGCTAGCTATTCGCTTCGCCAACGCTGACAGCAAGTCCAGTTTTTCCTCCCTGTCGGCATTGCAGCTAATTACTATGTGATTCAATTATAGATGCCGCGGAATTCAGGAATGCCTTCGAGAACGCGCAGAAAATCAACGCCAACCTCACCTCTAGCTCTGCCGATGTTCCTCCCCCTGAAGTGCCCGAGGAAGAGTCTAAGGAAGCACCAGCTGAGGAAAAGGAGGAAACCAAGGAGGAGGCTAAGGAGGAGGCCGCAGAAGCAGCGGAAGAGAAGAAAGAAGAGTAGATCCCACTATCAATACTATATCCTCCCCCCATACTGCGACTTGTTGTTTCAACTACCCATTGTGTTCGTCTTAGCGTTGCACACCTGACTCTATTGCGAATCAACATGACTTTGTATCTGACTGTAAATAAACGAACTAGGGTCGAGTGGCGCCAATATCGCCACAAGATGATGCTGTCGTTTCGACATACGACAATGCCCGTGAGGTATATCCAGTGCAATTAGTCCGACTAGCCCGCCTGGTCAGTACACTAATTATCGTTGTGTGTATTTCGTCTTGTATAAGATTCTTCCGCAGCCGCCCATGCCTCCCAGAACGCCGGTCCATCACCTTTACTCCAATATTGAGCGGATTGCTTCCCCTGAACGACGTCCTCCGTGATCAGGATATGCCGGATAGTCTATAGGAAGATGCGTGAGGAGCGGTCAATATCCGCAAATATATGAACTCACCGATCCACTAGGGAAAGAACATCCGTCACTATACGGTACAGGCGGTATATGGAAATGTACTTACGGGGCTTCATACATAGGTTGGAGCAGCAAGGTTTCCTGGAGGTCAATTCAGCACGAAGTACGATCAATAAGCGCTCAGGCTTTCTAAACACTTGCCATGATTCCTCTCAGTCCCCGCGCCCCGCCACCTCTCTCTGCTGCCTTGCGGCAGATCTCATCCAGCGCTGCACTGGTGAATCTGATCTCAATTCCAGAGTAGCCGAACAACGCAGTATACTGTGATATCAGTGATCCCCTGACATCTGTGAGCACTCGACGCAGGTCCGATGGCGTTAGTGGTGCAAGTGTGGTGAGAGAAGGCACCCGTGAGACGAATTCGGGAATGAAGCTGCACAGCTACGTCAGAGGAACGAGTAGCGGACGGAAGTGCCACCTACCCATATTTAACCAGGTCTGTCCGATGCAGACGTCAGTGTGAAACAACGGAAGAATATAGGAAGGAAGGTCTGCACCGTCGGGCTGAACGAGATCCAAGACATTCGGGACTGATCTCTTGTTGGGCGTGAAAAAGGGCAGGCCATTGCTCGGTTTGGTCTCTGATGATGACGCTAGATTGGCGGTGAAACCTATCGACTGACAATTCCATCGATAAGTATCCTGCACACTTCAGACGTAACAAGTGCGTACACCCTTGTCAATCCGTCGCTTGATGAGGGTGTCCATCCCGACGAACGCGCCGCTGAGAATGAACAGCACGTTGGACGTGTCAATAGAAAAGGCGTCCGGTCTCGCTGGTATCCGAACAGGTTGAGTTCTGTCAGTAGTAGATTCAAGGTCAGACTTACGAGCTACGCTGGAAGGCCGCTGACCAGGCCGCGACCGACCATCGCCGCCAGTTGGTGGCGCGACAGCACCAGCACCCTTCGCTTGTATAGTGACAGTTGTTCCTTCCATCATTCGTAGCAAGGCCTGCTGTACGCCCTCGCCACCGACATCCCGTGTACCTTCCATGCCTCCGCTACCAGTCTTCCTGGCGACCTTGTCGATCTCATCAATGTACACGATACCCATGCTATTCGCATGGCTCAGAAAACGACGAATCAACACAACGTTAACCTTACCTAGCACGATATGGGTCCCAGCTTGCAGCTTGCAGCTGAAAGCCTATAAGGATCAACGCGAGAGAACATGACAGAGTCCACTTACCAGCCGCTGGATGCACATATCGACGTCGTCTCCCACATCTGCAGCACAGTCAATCAGTGATTCTTGCCGCACTACTCAACGAGCTCGGACTAACATCCTGCCTGATCATTCCGTTCTTTTTAAAGCCATTAATGGGAGAAATAGTGGGACTAACTTGGGTGAAAGAGGTGGCGTCGCTCACGGAGAATGGGACATCAAGCACCTTAGCCAATGTCTTTGCAAGCAATGTTTTGCCTGCCATAGTATGACTATAGGGGTGACATAGCGACGTGTACTCAGGACTTACCAGACCCAGTGGGCCCTCTTCAAACACAACATCAGACATCGTCAGCGCATTCCAGTGTTTTGCGAAACACTCACATCACCAGCACATTGCTCTTCTCAAACAATGGCAGTGGGTGACGGGGCCTAAGCAGCGCAGAGTGTAGGGAGAAGCGATTTGGATGAGGATGTATATGTGCAGGTGCGACCCCCGATTGTGCTGCAAGGGATTATAACATTACCAGTGACAGACACACCCTGGACACTCACTCTGATCTCTTGCGGTGTCCAACCAATCCGCGCTCTCATCATGCTCGATCACGGCCGACAGATTCGCGTGCACCCGATTGAAATGGTTGAAGACGCTTTTGAGATCTCAGTACGGTCAAAGAAGCCGGGCGCGCCACGCAGACGTACGCCACCGACAACACTTTCTTAGCATTCTCTTGACCGATGACAAACTCGTCTAGATATTGGACAAGCTAGACGTCATTGTAGGTCGTGGCGTAGGTCAGACATCCCACGGAGACAACAGACAGCTGAGGTATACCTGTCTTGGGGTAGCTAGTCCAGCTGGTCTTGAGTTATACGGGGCATTATGACTCTCGTCCTCAGGAACATAGTCGTAATGCGCTTGCGTGCGGAGACTGCGCAGAAGTAGAAGGCGCGAATGGTGACAGCAGGGTGCGCGAGCGGACAATCCAGTCAGAAATGCAGGCAGCTGCATAATCATACAAGCTAGAGTACACAGGGAGGTCCAGTTGATACAGCGACGAGGACAAGGCGAAGAAAACACGAGGAACGCGCCCTCCCCGACGCGGCGTGAAACGAGAGCAAGTGAAGCCACGGCGCCAAAGACGACAGTGTGATCGACCGACATTCGTCCGCGGCTCTTTGCACCACACCATCATCTTCACCAGCCTCGAGTGTGAGTGGACACTCCTGCGCATACTCACCACCGTAGTGACATGGCGAGGCATCGTTCCCGTTCAGTATCGCCGCGTCCGAGGGATAGGCTCCGCGAGCCCGAGCGGGAGAGAGACAGAGATAGGCGGGACAGGAAGTATCCCAAGCACGATTCAGACTCAGAGGACGACAAACGGAGGTCGCGTCGGACGAGGAGCCGCAGCCGTGACGCTGATGACGGAGGTCGTCGTAGGCAGAGGAACAGGAGTGCAAGCGAGGAGAGGGAAAGAAAGAAGTGTGTAGACACGCAGACGCTGCTGTCAGTCTGATTGATGTTTCCCTCAGACGCAAACGCGACAAGTCTGCCGACAGAAAGGCGCGGAAGGCTGAACAAAAGAGGGCCAAGGAGGAGGAAGAGGCTCGTCAAGTAGCGGAGCTCAGTGTCTACAGTGCTACGGATAACCCCTTCCATGACGTCAACCTCAGCCAACAATTCCGCTGGCATAAGAAGAATGAGAAGGAGCGCAAGCAAGGCTTGTCCCTCGAAGAGGCGCAGAGGAGGGATGCCATCCGACGGCAGGAGGCAAAGGAGGAACTGGAGCGCTTGAACAGGAGGCGTGCGGAACGAGAGGCAGAGCAAAGGTTACGGGAGGAGGAGGAAGTGAGAATGCAGAGGCTGGCGGAGTCTGTGCAGATGGCTGACTGGCTCTCGAAAGAAGAGGGCTTCCAGTTGGAGCAGGAGCGCAGGCGTGCCGCAATCCGCATCAAGGAGAAGAGAGCCAAGGCTGTCGACTTCTTGGCCCTCAATCTGCGATATGTCAATCCTCCTGACGAGGAAGCTGAACAGGAAGATGACGATGGCCTGGAGATTGACTTGGATGAGCCGTATAACATAATTGACGTGAGTATATCTTCTCACCTGGGGTGGCTACGTCTGACGCTCATTGTAGAGTCTTTCGCCGGAGCAAGTAGAGGAATTGCACGACGATATTGAGAGATATCTTGGGCTAGAACAGTCAGAAGTCAATATCGAATTCTGGACGGTAAGCATCCAAAACGCCTACGAATGACTGGGCTCTCAAACTCTCGACCAATAGAACATGATGGTCATATGCAAAGATCAGTTGGACCGAATCACAGCCAACAAACGCTTGGGCGTGGAGGCCGCCGCGGCTGTAGAAGCCGATATTACTGCAGTCCTTCAAGGCAAATCTTTCGAGCATCTGCTCGTGCTCCAGAAGCAGGTTCAGGCTAAGCTTACTAGTGGTGAACCTATTGACACCGACTACTGGGAGAGTTTACTGAAGAAAATGCTCGTCTGGAAAGCAAAGGTCTGTCTCGGGTACTCGGCATGTTTTGTGTACCGTGCACTGAAGTCACTGCACAGGCTAAGCTCAAGACTCTCCACGAGGTGGTCGTACGCAACCGTCTAGAGCAACTTCGCAAACGGCAGCGCGACGAGGCTTTGCAAGCCCAAGAAGAACTGCTTGCTGGTGTTGCCAAGTCAGCGTCTAGAAATGACGGGCGGCATGTCGTCCCTGTTGTTGACAATGAGCAGCAAGAGGCTGTTGCGGCAGAAGATGTCGAGGAGTATCACAGATCAATGAGCCCGGAGCTCCTTGACATCAGGCGATTGCCCTACGAGGAGCGGCAAATTGATATTGTTACTGCCAAGGAGGACCTGCGTGCACTCGTAAGCCTTTCCAGCCTAGTTTCCTCTTCAACTCTTATCGACTATTCTCGTAGATGGAACAACGGCGTGCGGTTGCAGCTTCTCGCTTTGTGCCAAAGACCGCACAAGCCCCTGTACAGGAGCATCATGACGAGGAGGCTTCCAGTAATGCGGATCTTGCCTCCGAGGCTCTATACCGTGCAGAAGCCGAGCGAGAGCTGGACGAAGAGGAAGAGCTGTTCAACGTTGAGGAGAATATTACCCACCCGACATCTTACAACTGGGAGGATAAATATCGACCTCGTAAGCCTCGCTACTTCAATCGCGTGCACACGGGGTATGAATGGAACAAGTACAACCAAACACATTACGAGTAAGCCTGAACTGTTGTCACTCGCTGATGTCTCGATGTTAACTCTCGTCTAGTACGGATAATCCCCCACCAAAGGTTGTACAAGGATACAAGGTATGTGTCGTCTGGATTCTACGTCGTGTCCTCACGCTGATGTACACGATGCAGTTCAACATATTCTACCCCGACCTCATCGATAAGTCGAAGGCACCTACGTACAAAATTGTCAAAGAGCCCGGAAACGACGAGACTGTGCTCCTGCATTTCAGCGCCGGCCCTCCATACGAAGACATTGCGTTCCGGATTGTCAACAGGGAATGGGAGTTCTCTCACAAACGGTATGACTACCTACAATTTCACTTGTTGACTTATGCTGACTCTGTTTTGCTCAGTGGATTCCGAAGCAGCTTCGATCGGGGATGTTTGTCGCTCTGGTTCAACTTCCGTCGTAATGTAAGTGCCGCTTTGCATATCCTTGCTGGTAATCCTAATCCTCTCTGCAGTTCTATCGGAAGTGATCATTAGTGTCTTGATATGACGGGGTGTGCATGTCGGATATTTGTACTGTATTCGTGTCTATTCTGCTATTCGAGATTATGCATATAGATCTTGGAAATGCAATCACATTCACCGGCCAACAAGCGCCGACGCGACGCACTGACTCGATCGAATTGACCGATTGAATATTGATCGCGAGATCTGGCATTGTACTCTATCCCGTAGACTCCTCATCTTCGTCTGGCTGCTTTAATACCTATCCTGGAATTGGTGCATAGAGGGCCATGCCGACAGTTGCTGTAGACAAAGAAGATCTCTGGCGAAGGCTCGGTCGTGCATACTGTAAAGAGACATCCTGCTTTGCGGCTCTTCCTCTGACACTCGTTCTCAGCTGCTGAAGAGTTTGATAGACTCCTCTTCGAGTTTGGCCTTGAGCTCGATGAAGACGTGCGTGCTTGAACTTCTTACCCTGTTACTGTCCTGTAATTCTCGGGAGCTAGACAACAGAGGAGGTAGAGGCGGCGAGAAAGAAGGGACTGCCTGCGGATCGGCCTGTACGTACCAAAATGTTCATTTTTCTTTTGAAATACAGAACGTCTCTCATACATGAGCTCCTCCTCATATACAGCAACTCAAAATTGAGATCCCAGCGAATAGGTTAGCGAACCTGCATGAGTGAATATATCACAGTAAAGAACGGCTATTGTCAGATACGATCTGCTATGTATCGAAGGCATCTCTCGCGCTCTGCGGGTCTTCCTTGGCTTGGACAAGTCTCCACAATACAAGCTTGTGATGCCAGAGGGTGGCGAAGCGAACCTCATCAATGTCACGATAGCCCCCGAGGTGCGTCCATGAGAGTATCCGTAGCTCGAAGCCTCACCAACCTGTATCGCAGACGAAGCAAATACGACCGTACTTTGCTTGCGCAGTGTTGCGCAATGTTAAATTCACGCAATTGTCGTATGACTCCTTCATTGATCTGCAAGACAAGCTGCATCAGAACCTGTGCCGACGTCGCCAATTTGTCGCTATTGGTACCCACGACTTGGACACGATCAAGCCTCCTTTCAGATATGAGGCTCGTCCACCAAAAGACATTAAGTTCGTGCCGTTGAACAAAGAACAAGCTTTTACGGCAGAAGAACTTATGACGGTCTATGAGGTAAATCGCTGCAAGGTCCCACTAAGATAAGTTGTCTGATCTATCTACAGTCAGAAAAGCATCTCGCGCGTTATCTGCATATCATTCGGGACTCACCAGTTTACCCCATCATCTACGATATTCACGACAGAGTCCTGTCCATGCCCCCGATTATCAACTCCGAGCACAGCAAAATTACATTGAACACTCGTAACATCTTCATTGATATCACTGCGACTGACGAGACTAAGCTCAACATCGTTGCCAATATCATCACGACGATGTTCTCTGAATACTGTGCAGAACCGTTCACGTAGGATTTCGCGTACGTCATCTTGAGATCCTCACTAACAGTATGATAGTATTGAACCCTGCAAAGTCATTTACCCCGACGGGACGACGCGTATCACCCCAGACCTGTCATATAGGTCTACCACAGCACACGCCTCTTACGTCAACTCATGTACGGGCCTCGCGCTGGATGCGAAGCAAGTCGCCAGCCTGCTCGAGCGTATGACCCTGCACGCCTCTCTGTCGCCCAACAACCCGGACGAGGTGCTTGTGCAGATCCCGCCGACGCGGCCCGACATCCTGCACGAGTGCGACGTCATGGAGGATGCCGCCATCGCGTACGGCTTCAACAACCTCCCGGACACCTTCCCGGCGACGAGCACCGTCGCACAGCCACTCGCCGTCAGCAAGCTCAGCGACATCGTCCGCACCGAGTGGGCGCTCGCGGGCTGGGTGGAGGTCCTCCCGCTTATCCTGGCAAGTCCCCGCGTCCTCCTCCGTGCCCGCGCCGCCCCCGCTGACCGCCGGCCCCCCTTCTGACTCTGACTCTGACTCTGACGCGCCCCCGCTGACTCCCCTGCCCTGCCCCGCACAGTGCTCGCACGAGGAGAACTTCGCGTGGCTCAACCGGCGCGACGACGGCACGCGCGCGGTGCGCATCGCGAACCCGAAGACGCTCGAGTTCCAGGTCGTGCGCACGTCGCTGCTGCAGGGCCTGCTCAAGACGATCCGCGAGAACCGCTCGCACGCGCTGCCGATCAAGGTGTTCGAGGCGTCCGACGTCGTAGTCAAGGACGCCGCGCGCGAGCGCCAGGCGCGCAACGTGCGGCACGCCGCCGCGGTGTGGTGCAACCGCACGGCCGGGTTCGAGGTCATCCATGGCCTGCTCGACCGCGTCATGCAGATGCTCGAGGTGCCGCGCATTGCGGGCACGGACTACAAGGCCGAGACGGGCTACTACCTCAAGGAGCGCGAGGGTGCGTGTTGTTGGCTCTGCACGCGTGTTATATAGATTCTGTGAACCGATACGATCCGCAGACGCGACGTTCTTCCCCGGGCGCGCCGCGACGATCTACTATCGCGCGCCGCCGAAGGAGAAGAGCATCCTGCCGGCCGTCAAGCGCGGGGTCGAGGCCGTGTTCGGCGCCACGACCGACCGGGAGATCGGCGTGCTCGGCATCCTGCACCCGACAGTGCTAGAGAACTTCGAGATCCCGTACCCGTGCTCGGCGGTCGAGTTCACGCTCGAGCCGTTCAAGAACGAAATGCAGACGGTGTGAACGAACGCCGACTGAAAACGTCGGGTGTGCTGACCAGGGAGAGGGAAGAGGGCAGACTGTAGCAACCGTAGGCCCGCAGAATGAATGTTGAATGTGAATGTAACAATGCACCATCCATCGAATGTAGCAAACGCCGATGTGCTCCTCGCACAGATATTTCCGAGCAATCATTAGCCAATTGTATAGTCTACTGTGCGCAAGGAATAGTACAACGAATGGCGGGCCGAGACGCCAGCAAGCCGAGGTCGTAGCACACATTGTCGATATATATTACATGCATTGTCCCAAGATCAGCAGCCAAGAGCCTGCCCCCGCCCTCACCAGGGTGACAGACGAACTCCTCATACAGGTATACACGCAGCCCTCACGCCACTCCTTCCTCAGATGAGCCCCGCCGAGCGGAGATCCTGGTCCAGCCGCGCCTGCACCGCCAACGCTTGGGCGACGCGCGCATTGCGCTCGGGGTCGTCCGGGTCGAGCGGGAGGATGTACTCGCCGCGCGGCGACGGCGGGCGCTCTGGCTCGGCCGGCCCCGCCATCTCGCGCAGGAGGGCCTCCGCGTCCCCGTCGCGGTCAACATTGCGCGAGAGCCCGAGGCCCGTGCGGATGAGCGAACCGTCCGCGAGGCCCTGCAGGCCGAACACGCGCTCGAGCGAGTGGATCAGCGCGCCGTTCGCGGGGCCGGACGGACGTCCCGCGGAGGGGTCTTCCCGCTGTGCGGCGAGGATGCCGCGCTCCCAGCGCTTGACGCGCCAGAAGCCGAGCAGCGAGGTGAGCAGGATGAACCAGCCTGCGCGGGCGTCAGTCAGTATGCGGTGGCACGCGGTACAAATATAAAGGACGGGTGCGACGCACCGACAGTCATCAGCAGGAAGGAGATCCACTCGGAAGTGCCGATGATGAATGTACCGGGCTCGTCGCTGACAGGCGTCGGCAGCGTGCCCGTAGCATTGAGGTTCTTGTAGTACTCGTCCGCCTCCGTGGGCGTCGCGAACGCCGGCTTGCTCCACACGTCCTGTGTCGTGGTCTCGCCCTGGAACGCGTTCTCCTCGTTGCGGCGCATCGCGAAGCCGTACTGGATCAGCGTGATGCCGAGGCCGGCGCGCGAGCCCAGCTTGGCCGCGTGCGTCGTGTGCAGGAGGTACGTGAGCAGGAAGCCGACGAACTGGAACGAGATGCTGACAAGCATGTTCCACAGGAACGAGAAGACGGAGCCCGTGGGCAGCGCATCGATGATGATCTCGCCCGCGCTCGACGCGGAGGACGGCGCATGGACGGTCGTCTCCCAGTATGGAGGGGCTGCGTCCGCCTGGGCGGCGGCGTACGACGGCGGGGTATCCTTCTGCACGTCCTCTGGAACGAGGTACGTCTCGTCGCCTGTGATTGAAAGTGTGAGGAGTGCAGTCGAGCAATAATATGAGTCTGAGTAGTGCAGGGAAAATGCCCGTAGGCTATTTGTGCCGATTTGAATGACGATTGGTAGAAGAAACCCGACATGTACAGCGGCATGTTTACCGCTGAGCGCTGAGCGGTCATATTTCCTCTACAAAATGGCATGGCAGCCAACGCGGTGACACAAGTAGTGTCGCTGAGGGTACAACGCCCTCCCGAACCATTATCAGGTCATAGACCTGAATTCTCGTCGATCAGAGAATATAGGTCACGTTCGCCTGCGTACTCAAGTTTGTTGATGGCTCGGGCATGGGGGTGATTTCACCTCAGATATCTTGCTCAGAGTCTGGACAAGGCCTGACCCTTTCGAGTTGCGCCAGCAACCGCCATTCGCTATCTCTGCGCCAGGCGCGGCGATTGGGTGCAATTTGGCCAACAACTCTAGACACAACCAACCAACCAACCAACCAACCGAACCCCGACATTTCGCCATTTCTCCCACAGCACCAGACCGATCGTACGATGGAGGACTCACCCTCTTGTATGCGCACGGGACGTGCGGGCTTCGCGACGACGTTCGCAAACACGCCATCGTTGTGGGTGCCGCCGCCGACGTAGCCGAGCGGGGCGCGCTGCTCGAGGCCGAGGCGCTGGACGTAGTGCGTGGGCAGCACGGCGGCGGCGGTGCGCCGCACCCAGCCGGCGCGGGGGGACGGGCGCGGGTCCGCGTCGGTGGGCGGGGCGGGGACCAGCCCGTTCGAGTTGCCGTGCTCGTTCGGGCGTGCGCGGTCCGAGGGGCTCGGCGGGGAGCCCGGCGGCGGGCGGATGTAGTCAAAGTCCGTGGACTCGAAGTCGTAGGTGCCGGGCACGCGGGCGGGGGCGGGGGTGTACGTGTGAGTATGTATGTGGGCGTGGGCGCTGGGGTGGTCTTCTGCGGGTATGGGGTCGTCGTGGGCGAGCGGGTGGTAGCCGTTGCGGGCGGGGCGGCGGGAGGGGGCGTGGGCGACGTCGTCGTCGTCGTCGTCGTCGTCCGAGTCGGAGTCGTCAAAGGCAGCCTCTAGCTCATGGTCGGCGGTGGGGTCTGTGAGGGGGTTCGGGAGGGGGGCATAGCGGGCAGACATAGGCTAACGAGAGAGGGCAGCAGGAGCGAGTGCAGCAGCGGGAGGACCAGAGACGATGGCCAGCACGGAAGCGCCCACGATAACATCACTCGGCGTGTCCGCATCCGGCCGTGGCCAATCGCGAGTGTGCGCCTATTTGGAGTGCCCTGCTCTCATTGGTCGACGCCTCTCCTCAGAGTCTCGCTCGCGGCCATCTTTGCCTGCAAACTGCCATGTTCATAACGACTGATATTACAAGAGAACTCTATTCCTGGCTTCCCCCAATCAGCATCTGTCCTGTTGCTACGAACCATTGCCGTCTCTTCTCGCTCGTAGTCAGGCTGTCCCCGTCCAGTTCTGTCTAGGCTTCCGCCATTGGCACTAGTGCATCGCTTGGCAGACCTTCCCCAATGACATTCAAACGCCTGCCCAACAATGCCGTACAATCTCTGCTACTGCGCAAGAGCTTGTGGGCTGTAGATCCGCGTCCGCGCCCCGTCTTGTTTATATGCGACAACATGGTTCAGATGCCGGTAAGTATATGTCGTCATGCGATACATGTCTTCTCCCTTGTATTAGTTGTAAGACCAACATCACGGTTTGTGACTCCATGTGACCCCAAGGACTTATCCTTTCGGAGTGCTGCACTCGAGAGAGGGGTCCGTCTAGTGGAAGGCGTTGCCGATACAGCACGCTTCTTTCCTCTGGTACACTACACATCTGCGCTTTTGTCACGACTTTGTAACGGTCGGCATGTGATGTTGGTCGAAAGTGACTTGGGCCTACCTTATGTTCGTACTCTTCGCAATGTACTTTTTCTCACTGCTGCATGTCTTGTGATCTCTCTCTATTAACAACAGATTGTTTCTATGGCACGGGGAACAAGCGGGTATGTCTACGCCTGTGCGCTCTGGATCTGTTGCAGCCATGTCTCGATCCTCCAATGCTGATCGCGGCCTCGCCCAATCAGAGGTCGCCCGCTCTCACTCGCCATCTTTCCGTAATGCCTTCGCACAACCGGGCTATGCAAGCAACACAAACCAGATCGGATATCATTCGACACGCTACACGAACCCCAGACCGCAGTAACCGACGAAGCTGCCATGGAACCATAAGTTATATCGAACAAAGCTACCATATACGACGCGTCCGCTGCGCTGATTGGTCAGTCCGCAGGAGAGCGCCGCACTCCAGACTCGGGAGTCACATCATGCGCCCGCCTCGCATCCGCTCTCGGCTCGTCTCGCCCGCGCTCGAACGGCGAACGGCCACAATAGTCGCCGTGCCCTTTTTGCCCTCCTCGCCTCCTATCGCTGCGCAGCGCTCTGCAGCCGGGTGGCAGTGGCGGGCGCGTCGAGTGGCATAGGGCAGTGTGCATGCATAGTGATTCTCTCGCGTTCTGTGTGGCGCAGATGACGGTCAGCCTCGTGAAACGCGCGCAGGTAAGCGGGCAGCGCTGCTCACCGGATCGGCTCAACACATCGCGAGGCAGAGGTCCTGGCGGCCGGCCTTTGCGTCGCGCACGAGGCGCGAGACGCGCTGGCAGCTCTCCATGCGGGCGTCGACGAGCTCGGAGAACATCTCGAGCAGGCGCGCGCCGGGCTCGGACGGCGGGGCGCGGTGGGGGCGGCGGCGGCGCGGCGCGTGCGGCGAGATGCCGGGCAGCTTGAGCTGCATGATGTTCTTGCGCCGGTTCCAGCGCGTGGAGTGCTTGCGCGCCGGGGGCGGGGCGTCCGGGTCGGCCTTGATGATGGGGACAGCGGTGAGCATGGGGCCGGCTTCGTCGCCCATGGACGAGGTGGATGAGGCTGGGCTGGTGACAGCCCCTGGGGACGACGCTGCGGAGGTGGTCATGGACGACTCTGCGGGAGAGCCGACGGTGTATGCGATGGCACGGGCGTCGGAGCCCTTGGCGATGGCGACCTCGAGGGCGGCACGGGTGTGGTGGATCCAGTACCGCTCTTGCTGGTAGAAGGCGGTGAGGGAGTCGAGGAGGACGACGGCTGAATGGGCGGGCTCTAGGGCGTGAGGAGAGTGGGGCGGGGTGGGGAGGGAGTGCTGTGGGAGGTCTGGGGAGAAGATCATGGCGGGACAGGCGAAGTGGAGGGGAGGACGGTGGGATTGGGTGGGAGGAACGGGGGGAGGGCTGGGAGAGGCTGGTGGTTGGTCGGACGGCTGGCATTTATGGCGGTTGGGCAAGTCTCGACCGTAGAGCACACGAACTCATCGTCTTGTCCAGACCAATAGCGTTCCAGACCGCTTCCCGTATTGGCAGGAGCCAATGGGAGGGCGGCAGGGCCCCGCCCAATCAGCTGGCGTCCCCGCTCTGTGATTGGCTGCTGTGGTGTGCATGGAAGAAGGCTCGCCTGCGCTGGCTGCGCTGGCGAGGAAGTGTGAGTGAGAGAGTGAGTGAGTGGAAGAGCTGAGGCGCAGGGCGGCGGAGGGAGAGAGAGGCTGAGATGGATCTGCGGGCATCTGGGATCGGCCCATCGGTCTTGAGACGAGCGAAACCCGGGCTCGCTCGCTTTGGCAGGTGGCGTATAACCCAGCACGTCATCACATATCCCCCGATTAGGCAGTCTCCATACCGACGTTCGCCCGTCCAATCCCGGCTCTCGCCCAATCACAGCTCCCCCTCTGCCGTCCCTCGGCATCGCTCCCATTCGCTCCCCCACAGTCACGGTCCTCTCCTCAGCTCCTGCCCCGAGCCATGTACGCACTCGCGCTCTCCCTCGCCGCCGCCGCCCTCCTCCCCGTCGTCCTCGCCGACCCCAATGCCGCCGTAGACCCGCCCCGCCTCTACCACCGCCTCTTCGACCCCGCCGCCTCCGGTGCGCCCTGGGCAGAGCGCGGCACCCTTGCCCTCCCGGGGCCTGGCTCCGCGCCATCCGCTTCCGCGCACCTCGTGCCCGCCGACACGCTCGAGGCGGACCTCGCGCACTTCGCACAGACCCTCCGCAGCCCAGACGCCGCCGGCGCGCTCTACCAGCTCGCGCTCGCGCGCCCCGGCGCCGCGGACCCGGCGCACTGGCACGTCTCCGCCGTCAAGGCCGTAAGCACCTCCCCCTTCTTCTCGCGCGCGTGTGCGCGGCGCGTCTCGGCTGACCCGGGATACTGGATGTCGTCGCTGTGTCTAGTGCCACCTGCCCCAGAGCACGTCCGAGGATATCAGAGTCCACCTCGCCGCGGACGGCACGCCATACGCCCTCGACTATTTCGTCGCGCCTGTCCCCCGCGACGGTGCGTGCCCGAAGCGCCGCCGAAAGGACAGCAAGGGCGAGACCGCCCCGCCGTTGCGGCACGTCTCGAACACGACCGTGTCGCTGGTGCACCCCAGGCACCCGCCACTGTACGTCTTCCCTGTCCGAGCTGAACTGCATTGTCGCGGTGGCATTCATTCGTGTTGCTGCCGCACAATGCAATGCAGTGCATTCTGCCATCTAGACAGCGCTGACGTGTTCTCGGCGCGCACGCGCCTCCCAGACCGCAGCTACGCGTCCCGCCACCGCTGGCCCTCGACGGCAAGCCCGTGGAGCCGGTCCCGGAGAAGACCTTCCTGCAGAAGTACTGGATCTACATGGCCGTCGCGCTCTTTGCCCTGCGTGAGCTGCCCCCTCCGTTCTAATCTCGGCGCGCGTGCCCACGATCTGACGGCTTTCTGATCCCACAGTCGTCTCGCCGGGGGGAGAAGAGGAAGGCTCTGGACAGGGCGCGGCGCCGGCTGGAGCGGGCGCGGGGCGGCGCTGAGGCGTGCGCGGTTGCGTGCCGGGCTGCTGTGTGTATTTCTGTGTCCAAAAGGGAGATGTTCCCCCTGTTCTCGTTCCAAGCAATCGTGTTTCGGGCTGATGGGATATCAGTCAGCCCTGTGCTATGATCTGCCAAGGATATGTTCGAGTCTCTTTCTGCGTGCCTCTGGGCTTCTGGGCGCGCGACGTCTGGGTAAGCAGGTTTCTATTCTGGAATGCGTGAATAACGGGTGTGGGACAACACCGCCGATGGCATTCATTCTGTGGTGGTTGTTTCCTCTCTGGGTATGTTTCTTCGAGGAATGGAGGTCGCAACTGACACAAATCAAAATCAATGGACTCGCCCAGCGCGCCTGGCCCGCTGTCCGCACCCGCCCAGGCGCCCCAGAGCGCCCCGCGCCCACCGGCCGAGTCCCCATTGATATACACACGCATCTAACCAGTTATGTGGTTATGTGCCTCGTTTCCTCCCTCGATGGGAGAGCACCGACCGCTAAGACTCGACATCGTTGGGCTCGACGCGTCTGCCGCGCTCTCTCGAGCGCCCTGCGGATGTATCCATGGGTACGCCATGCCCAAACGGGCTATTACGCGTCGCGCGTCGCGCACAATGTCCACCGCCCTGCCAGCGCCGCCCCGCCGCCGCTCGCGCGTAACTGCCGGGAGTTGTAGTTGGTTCTTTCGTGTGGAGCAGCCAGGCTGCTCTCGGGATACCGACGTTCAGGCGCGAGCGGGTTCGTGCCAGCAGTTCGGCCTCCTGTCGCGTTGTCGCGTTGCCCCAGAAGCGAGACACTGTATCTGTGGAATCGGATCTCGCAGATATCTCCCCATGCCCCCCAGCCCCAGCCCGCGCATCCGGTGCTCGTGCTCGTGCTCGTGCTCATGCAGATTTGGCCCACCCAGTGATCGATCTAAAATGGTGCGTGGGCAGGGGGGTGTGGGGGGTGAGCAGCTGTCCCGCAGCGCAGCCGGAGCTGGACGGTGCCTCGAGCAGACTCGTCCCGCCGCGGCTGCGATCGAGGGCCTTCTTCGGTGCATCTGTGCATCTGTGCATCTCGGCTCGGAGCTGCGCGCTGCTGCATTTAGCTGGTGTTGTCTGTAGCGTGGCTTGGGACAGGCGGTATCTAAGCTCGGGACACGGGCATGGAGGGGGGTGCAGGCGGATATTTGCGTGGGCGGTACTCGATGGCTGGTGCTGCGGACATGCACTTAATTCCCGCATGCTGATATCGCGACCGGGCACCGTATAGCTACCAGAAGAAAGCTTGCGGAACAGTCCAGCGTTGTTCTCCGTTTAGAAATGCATTTTGTCGCCGCTACATTCTAACCCCCGCACGGCCCTTGCTGGTCACTGCTTGATCCCCCGGCATCGCATGCTAAAAAATGCAGCCCAGTGCATAATTCCCAATGCCTGACCTCAGGGGCACCACCCTCGCTGCGTTTCATGTCAGCTCCTTCCATGGGCACAAAATCACTTTCATTGGACCGCTACTCTATCGGCTCTATTGACGATCTGTCCTAGCGACCATTCCCCCAACACGGAGTGATGATTCCCTTTGTACACCTGCATTATCCGCCATATACATATCTTCCTAAGGCGTGCGCAGCGGGTACAGCTGTCAATCTTCTCGCCGACCGTCTGCGCCGTCCGTGATGATTCCGACCCACCACCGCTCCCGGTACTCGGAATACACCCAAACAGGCAACTAGGAACCCATATACGGCAACGTGGGCATTCGTCCCCACATCTCGTCACGGGACGCGCTGTCGTCTTGCTAACAAACTCTGTCCACATGCCGGTATTGGTCCAGCCGGCCCTCCAATTGGGCTCTTGCGTTGCCACACCCCCTGTGCCCATGGCCGCGCGATGATTCGCCGCCACCATCCGCGCCCGGCCTCGACCAGCAGCCACTGGTCTCGACGCGCCGCTTTACGCAGTGCCGTGCCCGCGCGCTCTCTCAACCCCCAGCTCCCGCGCGCCGGCCACTGAGAGCAGCCAGTCACCTGTGCGCTGACGGAGAGGGGTCAGCCGCAGCGATGGGGTGCCGCAGAAGGCTGCCAGCAACGCTTCGACGGCCTCCGCGAAGCGGCACGCTCAGTCAGCACGGCGGTCTAGAGGCGGGCGAGGCAGGGCGTACGGGAGCGCGGATGACTTCCTTCGCGCGGCATCCGTCCGACTCATCGGCGGCTGTTGTGTGCTTCGGAGGGAGTGTCTCCACTGGGCCACGGCGTCCAGCGTTTCAAGCTCAAGGTTCGCAGGCGCGGGCCGTCGTTTTGGAATTGGAGGGCGGTCCAATGGCGGGCCGCGCTGCGCTTGAGTCCTTGACGGCATGTGCATGTGACGTACGGTATGATGCATATCTCGATTGCCGCACTTTCCCCGCATCGGTGATATCAAGCTCTTCTGCCTCGATGATAGAAGGGGGATGAGGGGGCCACCCAACTCCGCGAATCACAGTCGTAACAAGGGAAGCGTTGTCCCAAGAACGCCTGCTTCCTGCTGCGAGCTCCTGCATGTGGTACTACTTGTCGTTCATCGTTCAAGTAGTCACCAGACAGTGTGCGCTCCTGAAGACAATATATATGGTTTGTATTGTATGGGTTTTGAATCACCGTCCCGCCGTCAGGCGTTGTCGAGTATAGGCAATATGGATGCCTTGAAATAGAAAATCTGTTACATCACTAAACACACGAGGTTGGAGTAGAAGCTTCGGAGAGTGTGCTGCAGATCCCTCATTGTGAGACAGATACTGTCCAGGGCAGTCTCGAACGGTAGCCCGCGTGGACGCCTAAGGAGTTACGGGCGGCAGATATACAATATCAAAAGTGCATGCCGGCACCCGCCAATCATTAATCATGTACGGGCACTCCCCACGTTGTCCTATCATATCCCTTCTTGATTAGACCTGGTCGCGCGAGATCCTGCAGTAGCACTAATGCGCCATTCCCTTCGTCCTCCGTCCCCACAGATTACATCACAGCCGATCATCAGCGCTCAGCGCTCAGCCTGCATCTATGTTCTGAAGTCTTCGAACTGTAAGCCCATACACATTCCTTCCGCTCCGTCGATCTTCCGGAAGCCTAACCGCTCGTAGAATCGCCGTGCACCCTCATTGCGCGGATCAAGCCCCAGCCAGACGCGGTCCAATCTCTCCTCTCGCATACACTCAATCGCACGCGCAATCAGCCGCCGGCCCCATCCCTGGCGCTGGTAGTCCGGCAGGATGTCGATGTGCAGGTGCGCCGGGGCGAACGCGACGCACGCAGACGGGGCGTTCTGCGGTGAGTGCAGCAGGCGGATGTAGCGCGCGTCCGCGTCTTTGACGGGGCGCGAGGGGTCTTCCGGGTGCGCTGGTGGGTCGTGGTTTGGATAGCGCGCGCGGAGTGACGGGTACCACAGCGTCTCAGCCTGCTGCTCGAACACGCGGGTGTCGTGTGTGCCTAGGATATAGCCAACGACCTGGTCGGACTGGGGCTTTGTGGGGTCGACCATGACGAAGCCGAAGCCTGCAGGCAGCCGGGCGTATGGCTCGGCGTACACGAGCCCCGGAAGCTCCCCGAAGTCGTGCAGATGCTCGGCGGAGGTGCCTGCGTCGCCTGTGAGGAGGCAAATGCGCGAGAGAGCGGACGCGTCCGAGGCGGACACGCGTCTGATGTAGACGTCTGTCTCACTTGTCATTATCTGGACTCTGGAGGAATGTCAGCATGCCTGATAACTGGGCGAGGATTCCGCCAGACGAGGCCTCACCCCTTGTCTCTCGTGCGCTACCGTGAATTTGGTGGAACCTTGACCCTATCACCTTCCAAGGAGTTGTTGATACAGGTTTAGAGGAGAGAACAAGGAGATGCATGATAACGACCTGTAAGGAGTCATAAATACGTGTTCAGCTATCGCAGTCAAGGCACACGGTACGCGTGATGGCTGAGATGGCCCTTCGATCTCCCCGATCACTCACAGATCTCGATCTCTTGAATAATGTTGGAAGGTTGTATGTACCATGGTGGTGCTAAACTCTCATGATTGACTTCCATCGTCAGTACCACAGGCATTCGCGCTTGCTTTCATCTCAAACACACCCGCTTGAATATATGGGTCATGAGGTCTGCGGCGCAACTAAGCATCGCGTGCTCTTAAACGGTCCGCTGGCAACTAAGCCAAGAGGATTTTAGGTCATCGGGGACGCGGACGTGCCATGTGCTATTTGGATCATAAAGGCTGCCTTCCATCCATTCAATGCGTTGGAGAGATATACTACCGGCTCCGCGCCTTGACTTAATGTATCCAATGGTAAGTGCTTATCAGAACTAGCTGTGATCGCAATGTAGATGTCGATCATGGCGTTGCTGACCAGGTGTCTCACTTTCCATAGCGGCTGACCATCCCGGATCTAGAAACACCATGGCGTTTTGTATACAGTCAGGGAGGAGCTGCGTTCTGCATGCTCACTGTCTAGTTCTTCGCACTCGACTCTGCTCTCGGCTTGGGTTCCTCGTATAATTCTCCATGCCGTACACTTCTCTTCCTCCGCGTCGGACAGCTGCAGCTCGTGGATCGATTCCTGACACTCCTTCTGTTTATTCATTTGACGAAGATATACCCGGGCGCCGGGCGCCTCATGCGCGCTTCAATGAACTCCATGAAGTCGTCCCGCCAGCACCACTGGAGCGATCCCGACAGCATGCTACTCTTCACACCGCGCCATACAATCATCGGCGGGCTATGCAAAACGATTCGGTAGACCCATTTGATGCAGAAGACTCTCGCGGCTTCGGTGGCAGCGAGTCCACTCTGTTTGAAAGCCGTGGCAGCCGTGGAGCACCTGTTGACTCGAGGTACTCGCTCTCGTCGTACCAATATCCACATGGTATTCGCCCGCCTCAAGGAGTATATACCGGAGAGTCTCCGCGCCCGCGTGCCCCACAGCCCCGCAGGAGAGTCAGCTTTGCCGATGATGCGGAAGCGAGCGAGAAAGCAAGCGGCGCCCGGCGGGAGCCCCCACAACGCGAACGGCGGGACAGCAGCTCTCCTCTCAGAGATGGAGATCAGCGCTACCAGTCCTACCTACATAACATGATTGACCTCGCACTCAACGAGTATCAAGGTAACGAGGAGGGTGCGGCCACGAGCCAGAGAGGCTCCATTGCTAGCTCGGTTAGCAATGCGCCTCAAAAACGCGCACAGCTCCCGCGCTTGAACTCGATGGCATCGAACGCCAGCGAGGACCAGGACCAGTTTATCGATGCCGACGATCCGCGCGTGACAGGCGTGCGCAGGCGCAATATGGACGACCCGGAGGACATCGAGCGCGCATGTCTGCGCCAGATGAGCTACAAGGAACGGCGCAAATACCATTCGCGCTCGAAGATTGAGTTTAACATCACATGCACGTTCCATGTCTCTGATACTGTGCGCGCGTCGCTGACCTGTGCTTCCTCCGTCCAGCCGTGCTCAATAGACAGATGTTCATCATCCGACTCGCTCAGGCGTTGATGACATTCGGCGCGCCGTCGCACCGCATCGAGAGCCAGCTGCTCTCCGCAGCGCGCATCCTCGAGATCGACGCCGAGTTCATCCACATCCCGGGCGTGATCATGTGTTCTTTCGGCGACCAGGAGACCAAGACGTCTGAGCTACACTTCGTCAAGTGCGCAGGGCGCCTTTCACTAGGCAGCCTGCATGAGGTGCATCAGATCTACCGCACCGTCGTGCACGACGAGATCAGCGCAAAGAATGCTGCCGCCCAGCTCGATGCGTTGCTACACGCGAAGCCGGTGTATAGCGCGTTGTTCCGTACGATCCTCGCGTTCTTGCTCTCCCTGCTCATCTGCCCACTTGCGTTCGGCGGTTCATTCGTCGACATGTGGATTGCGGGTGTGGGGGCCGTGTTCCTGTCGACAATGCAGGTCCGGGTTGCGTCGAAGTCAGTCTTGTATGCCAATGTCTACGAGTAAGTATGTCGCTGCTGGTCCCGAGGGTGCCACTGATACCTTGAAACTACAGAATCACCGTCACAACCTGCGTTTCATTCGTCGCTCGAGGTCTGAGCAGTATCCGCTCGCAGGTTTTCTGCTACACCGCAATCTCTTCCTCTAGTATCATCGGTATTCTGCCGGGATATCTTATTTGTGAGTGTATTCCCGCGCTATTATTTATTGGAAGCAGTCTGACAGCTTTGTGCCAGTGAGCAGCTCTTTGGAACTCGCTTCGAAGAACATCGTGTGCGGTAGTGTCAAGATGGTGTACGCGTTGATCTACACTCTATTCCTGGTTCGTGGTCCTCACAAGAGCGTCCTTCTGCCATGCTGACGCCCCGACAGGGTTTCGGTCTTCAGATCGGCTCAGACCTATACCTGCTGTTCGACCGAAGCGCACGCCACGAGCTTGCCTCGCTCGCCGCGCGCATGACATCGTCAGTGACGGTGTCGGGTCTCTTCGTGTCCGACAACACGACCTCGATCGCGTCGGAGCTAAATCGTGGTACGATCAACGGCGCATTCACGTTCACAAACTCGACACCGTTCATCCGCGAGTACATCATCGATGGGTGCTACCGCCCGCCAGAGTTCCCATGGTACCTCCAGCCGTTCCCGTGGTGGACGCAGTTCATCATCGTCCCGATTTTCTCCATACTGTCCTCGCTCGCGAACCTGCAGCCGATATGGACGTTGGAGCTCATCGTGATGGTCGTCATCTCGTGTATTGCGTACGCGGCGAACAAAGTCGCGAACCACTTCATCTTCAATCGCTCCGACGTCGTGTCCGCCATCGGCGCGTTTGCGGTGGGCTTGCTTGGAAATCTATATTCGCGGAAGTTTGGCGGCACAGCGTTTACGGCTATGGTCACCGGCGTCTTGTTCTTGGTGCCGGTAAGTCATAATACATCGCTGCCTATATTTCCGCGGGGCTGACAGTAATGTTCCTTCCAGTCTGGCTTGTCGCAAGCAGGTGGAATTACCGCACAAGGCGATGGCATAGATATTGGTGGTGCCATGATTGCAGTTGCCATTGGTATCACGGTCGGGCTATTCATGAGTCAGGCCATTGTCTACATGTTCGGCTCGCGGAAGAACGCCGCCGTCTTCTCGTTCTGACACGTCTTTGTATCATCTATGTCCTTGTACATTACAGTAACAGATCGTATTTATCCACAATGCCATGTTGTCATTATTTCCATGGACATCCCATGCGAAGACCCGTTTGTTGGGAGGTCTTAAAGATGACACAGTTCAATCACTGGATACAACAGATTTTGCATTCTTCTTCTAGTATCGTACAGTCGCCTCAGAATCGGACCGCAGGCGACGTTTCCACTCCCTCTATCGATACCTTATGGCCCACGAGCGTCCGGATGTTGCTGATGCCGTATCTGCGGAGACACGCGACGTGAGCAGCCGACAGGGAAGGGTCTATCGCCCCACGCACCGAATCATTGTAGGCCTCTCCAGCCCAATCCCCCACCCGTGGACATGCACGTCCTTGGGGAATCCCATCGGCTCCAGCATCTCAGGTCGGAACATTCCGCTGTTGCCGACCTCGACCCACTTACCAAGTTGCGGGTGGAAAGCGAAAATTTCTAGGGACGGCTGAGCGACACACACGCAGTGTCAGTAAAATCGATCACCCGACGTGAAGAGACTATTACCTCCGTGTAAGGGTTGTACGCGGGCTTGAACCTCAAGTTCTCAATGCCCATTTTCTTGAAGAACACGCGCATGAAGCCTGGATCGCATGTCCGTTATGATACGTGGGTTAGACAGAGCTTGCGCAGGCGACTTACCAATGAGGTCCGCGAGCGTCAGCCCACGATCTGCCACTACCCCCTCGACCTGATGGAACTCCGCCAGGTGCGTCGCGTCCATCGTCTCATTCCGGAAGACGCGGTCAATGCTGAAGAGCTTCGCCGGTCGGAACCCATCGTCGCCGTCTTTCGCCGAAGCACCGGGGTGCGCAGCCTGCTCATTGACAGAGTCGTCGGTGTCCTCGCCGCGGCACTTTGCCGCCAGCTTGTAGAGCATCGACGCGGACGATGCAGTGGTGTGGGTACGCAGGAGGAGCTTACGGGTCTCGGCGTCGGACCAGGGGGCGCGATAGCCCATGGAACCATAGCCACCGTGCTCGTGCACCTTAGATACGCGGGAGTAGTAGGAAGCGGGGGGAGGTAGAGACGTTGACGGATCTAACAACTAATTCAGTCGAGCCGTCAGTAGTCCATACACTCCGCTTGCCTGAGAGATAGAACGTGTCCTGTACTTCTCGTGCAGGATGTTGTTGCGGGACGAACAACGCGTCGAAGCACCAGAAACCTGACTCAACGAAGGAGGATGTGGGCATCTCGGCGAAGCTGCCAGACGTCTTAGCATACAAGTGTGAGAGATACCATAAAGTATAAGGTAGCATACCCCATCTCCAAAAAGATGTTTCGGATCTCTTCGCGCACTTTGAGCAGTGGATGGAAAGCACCACCATTAGGGGGCAAGCCTTCAGCTTCAAAGTTGTACTTTTTATAGGTTGACGTCTTCCACGAGCCACTAGAAATGACGCACGCCATGAAATACACCAAGACTCCTTGAAGAATGGACTCACGTCGCGAGCATGTCAATGGTAAGATCGGTCTCTGGTTTTGCTATTGATGTGCTGAAAGCGGGGCCTTTGCGGACGGTGAACCACTGTCCCTTCCTGGAGAAGAGGGTGAGAGCTATATACGAGCAGAGAGTAATCATTTTACCTCTGCACGATGAGCTTGCGCTTCCGCAACTCAGCCAGGGCCTTCTCGCCTGCTTTCAGTGTACCTGTCGAGTCGACTTCTCTCATTTCCAGTTGTGTGGCGTCTTGGACGCTTTCGGCCTGACTCGATGTGTCTCAATCACGTTCGAGATTTAGTGCACAAATGGAGGTCGTGCTCACAACTTTCACGAGACCGTCGCCCTCCTTGGCTATCCACTTGTTCTTGAACGCGCGACCCTGGCCGATCTTAGCCGTTTCGGAGCCAACGACAGCCTCCAGCTGCTTCGAGGTGATAGCGGCACCCTGCCCCTTCGGCGGCAGTGCTGCCCACACTCGCGCCTCATGAGAGCCCTCCAAGGCTATTTGCGCACCCTCGGGAGTGAGGACATGAGAGGTGGTTTCTTGCGTTGTGTACGCGATCATCTACATTCACGATCGATGCGCACAGCTTTCACGCACACGTAGACTGCAGTACGCACATCACGACTAGCAAGCGAATTGAGAGCCCCCAAGATGACGATCTGGGATTCATGGTCTGCTGCTGCGTCTGCCTGGCCTGGCAGGACCAACGTCCGAGTATCCTGGATGATCCCTGATTTATCAAGGGTGTCTAGTACGAGCTGCTGGATTGCTTCCGCCATGTTAAGCTCCTAGCAGCGAATAATGAGCAGAGCGGTGGCACAGATCCCTTAGTCCGAAAGACAGAAATGAGACGCGAACTTGACTCGATCATTGACTTCGCGATGATACAAGTAGACGCGCACACGTGAGGCCGATCATCCCCACCAATCCGCTCTCCGAGCGATCCCGCGGCCAACCATGGCTTCATCCCATTCTCCATCTCTTTCATCCCATCCAACGGCGTGGAACCAGGCCTGGAATGATGCACAACAACAGCTTACACAAATCAGACAGTCGTTGCTCTCATTTAATACAGCCTCCCCGCGCATAACGCGCGTCGGACAGCTCGACTCGGAGCTACTGGACCAGGAGCTCGTACAGCTACTCAAGGAGCCTTTGACCAAGGCCTTGAGCCTCGTGAATGTTCGCATGCTTCCGCACCCGCATAGCCACATATCTGAAGCGACTTTCTGCTCGTGCTGCAGTCGGCTTGGAAGGCGCGCCTCGAGCCTGAATTAGGCCTGTTCATCCAGCTCACGCTTTACAAACTGTCCGTTTGGGACCTCGGTGCAAGCTATGGCGCGCAGCTTCAGGGATTGCGGTACGGCGCTGAAGGCCAGCGCAGCGGCCCCCTTGCAAGTGTGTGCGCAATAGTCTTCTCATTTCGGTTCCTGACATGCTCGGCAGCTTCTGGGCTTCCTCGCAACAAGCTCCTCTTGCATGGAGCTATGACACTCCTCGTCCCTTACCTGCATGCACGCATACGCGCCCACGCCCTCAGTCGCGCTTGGCCTGATGCGCCATCTCTGGATAGACGGCGCAAGGCTTGGGAGCTGCTCACTCGCATGGAATCCGCACATGGCTGTCTGAGTTTACTGAACTTCGTTTCCTTCCTGTGGAACGGTCGGTAAGTCCCTCTACGTTGATGCTTACTCCTTCGAAAGACACCGGCTCAGCTTGACTGTCTGAGGGTGACAGATATCGTACCACTGTCGATAGACTACTCGGGATGAGGCTTGCCCCCGCACGGCGGCTATCTAGGCGTGACGTATCATATGAGTTCATGAACCGCCAGATGGTCTGGCATGCATTTACCGTACGTGTTTAACTCCGAGCGGTCGAGAGACAATTTGATTCACGTACGGTTGACAGGAATTCCTGTTATTCCTTCTCCCCTTAATCAACGTGCGGGCCCTCAGGCGTCGAATAACGGCGCTTGTATCACACGCGAGTCCGTCCGCTTTACTTCCAGGTCCAATACGTGCTGCCTTTGGGATCAATGCGGACGAAAAAGGCGTCGGTAGAGAGCAGATCCGTAGGGGTGCCTACTGGGCATTACCACTGGACCAATGTGCCATTTGCGCCGAGAACGCCTCCAGCAGCATGAATATGACAGACTCTGCCAATGCCATGTCCTCAATGGCCACTACCTACGCGAACGCCAGTGCGACGAAAGACGAGCAGCCACCAGAGAGCTCTGACCTGAGTGACGAGCCTCCCCCATACCCAATACACAGTCCATACATCACCTCCTGCGACCACGTTTATTGCTACTACTGCATTTCGGAGCGCATGGTGCGTACTGCGGAGGACAGATCCGGGGTCGGGCAGGGAGGGACACAGTGGGAATGTCTGCGATGTAGCGAGGGCGTGGCGAATGCGGAAAGATTGGAGGCAGAGGCGGAGGGCCCAGACTATGAGAGCGGGGTGGACGATGAAGATGAAGATGGCGGCAGTTATGAGTTTGGGAGCGAGGACATGGAGTTCACGGATATGAGTGGAAGCGTCGGTAGTTACAGCGGATCGGGATTTTCAGAGTAATGAAGTCCTCCAAGAAGCCATCGCGCGACACAGGCGAGAGTTTGGGAATCGTCACAAACCTAGTAGGGTGTCTTTGTTAAGAGTTAAGCATACCTCGTATAGGCTGAGTACAGCCTACCATCATCTCGTCAAAAATAGTGGTACACGAGATAAAAGCAGGCTCGGACCTTCGAGGTTCGCTGTCATGTGCGATTCCGTATTCTGAGAGACAGACTTGGGATTCAACGCCGTGTATGAGAATCCCAACGTCCTGAACCTTTAACGCCATGTAGTGGCGGCATCAGCAAAACCAGGTTCGGCGTGTAATACAATATATTAGTTATGAGTAATCAACATGATTGTCCATGCTTGTTATTTGCTGATATGTAATTACACGCCTGTCTAATTATGGGACATGATTATGAAGTAGTCAACATTCAGGCGATGCGTGTGCAACTTAGAGCCAGAATGGTATGCGTCTGATAATCGATTGCAGACACGTCGTCATAATTTTACTTGATTGTATGAATGCCCAGATATTGTGATAGTGTGCTAAGGCTTGGTATGTATCTTAAATAAAGCGATATAAATATTCTAATTCCAATCACGTTGCGTATCGTATGGATTCCGACACTGCATGCTGACAAATGCAACAATGGATGCGATGTAAGAGTGTGCTTGACCGATCATACAGAGAATCAGGCTTCAAAAGTTATTACATTAGCATATCTAGTGCATTGTTTCGTCCTCTGTGTCCTGACTCCTCGTCATCCTCAGGGTCTGAGCTTGTTTAAGTCTATGTCGTTGTCTAGATGTCCGAGCCATGAGCACTAGCGCCGGCATTAACAGACTCACATGGGGCGCAGTCCGCTAGGTGTGCTAAATACACTAATGTCTTCATAGCTGTGACTTGAGGAAATGTAGTGTAGAGTACGAGGTGAGTCTTTCAGTGTGCCGTTGGACTGTTAGAATGATGAGTCGCTGGCCGGATCTTAACTGTTACAATGTTACAATGACTACACCCATCACGCACGCAGCCATATGGTATTTGTCTCACACCCAGACCCACAGTATTCATACCCCATTTCGCAGTGGCGGGGCGTGGATACGGTGGGTCTGGATACAAGGCAAAATTGTATTTTGCTTTCAGCTGGTTTGTCTGTCAGCAGCTATATTCAGTGAGTCGCCGAATGGCGAGGCTCATGATTATTGGTGAGCCAGACACATGCTATGTGAAATTTCCTTTGCCAACTGCAGATAAGAGAGCACATCTGAGCGCATCTGAGTACAGTACAGTCCTCGCCAGCCTGAGGACCTCAAATATACCATTCAATTCTGCTTTTTAAGTTGGTAAGTTACAGCCTTTTCAGATCCCATTTTCTGGCTGTGTCTCATTATGCTTATAGTCTTGCACGCATATAGTGTGATTTACAGGTTGCCAATTTGCATAACTCAACACAAAGCCGAACTGCTTGAGTGGTAATACAAGTAAGTTTCATACTCTCTGCGACTTCAACATCCTGCTGATGTCACATTGAGGCAGAACATTGAGACGGCAGTAGCGCCAGCGGCCAGCCTCAGGAGCCCAGCTTGCGGCTCGACATCTACAGGATCAGGTGGCTGGATCAGGCGAGAACCTGTAGACTGGCGCACCTGTAATAGTAGTTAGTACCTATATAATTACGAGAAAATAAACATGATTTGTAATG